AAGGTCCCTTCCAACCCAAACCATTCTCTCATTCTCTGGTTCTATGTCTTGGAGGACTTTGCTGGTCCTGGGCTACTTGATGACAGATGAGTTTTAATGGGGGTCTCAAGGGTAGGTCCTTGGGGGGCTGATTGGTCCAGGGAGGGGGGGTTCCAGGACCTGCGACATGACGCAGGAGCCGAGCATCTCACTGTGGGTCTCCTTCCACAGTGTCTGGAGAGACAAGGTGGATGATGGGTCTGGCAGTGTGGTGCTTGCACCCTGGCTGGGGGTCCCCAGGAGGAAGCAGGGCTGCCATGGGAGGGATGTGGGGATTTGCAGAGGAAGGAGGTGCTGTGCCAATGGGAACGGGTGTGAAGAGGCCGCGGATGGTGCTGTACCATGAGCAGAGCTGCCCACCACCACTGCAGTGCTGCCGTGCCATCCCCTTGGCAAGGTGCTGGAGCCCAGTGGGGAGCTTCATGGCAGGGGAAGATGGATGGTGGTGCCTCGAGCTCTGTGGGGGACATGAGGGATGGTGCCCAGCTTAGGAGTGATGCTGCCACCAGACAGCGACACCATCACCGCCTGGAGAGCGATGCCATCGCCTGCTCTGGACCTGCACTGGGCCTCAGGAGCACCCGTTTGAGCCCCAGGGCTGTGTGAGCCACTTGCCTGGGCTGTGGCTCACTTGGGGCAGGGTTGTGGCTCACTCTGGGGACCGAGTGACACTTGACAGCCCAGCCAGAGGTTTAATGGGTGCATGCGGAGGGAAGTGCTGGGTGCTGCAGCAAAGGGATTGTACACATCACCCCATGGGGTATTAAAGGCCTGCCCAGAGGACGTGTGGATATGGATCATGTACCACAGGGATGGCTCTTGGGGTTGGGATGGAGGCTGGGGAGCGGGACCCCAACCACGTGAGAGGCACTGGCTGGTGGTGCAGTCACATCGGGATGTGCTGTCATCTTGTGTCTATGTGTCCACCTGGGCACTGTGTCCCCTCCTCAGACGTGGTGTGATGACTGTGGGAGTCCTGGGCACCACTGCTGGGGTTGGCACCCAGCAGGTCATGTCCTGCAGGATCAGTGGTGGTGGGGACGCAGCAGGACTATGGCTGGTGCTGGCCCCCTCTGAGATGTGTCTCACCCCAGTTAAAGATGTCCCCTCCTGAAGGAGGTGGTGGAGAGTCACAGGCCCTGCATGAGACTTGGCTAAACATGGTTCATAGTGAAACCCCCCAGTGGAGTGTGGCCTGAGTGAGGCCAGCAGGGTGTTGTCTGTGAATCCCTGTGGTGGCTGTGTGAGCACCCAGTGCGCTCAAGGGACAAGTGGGGTGTGCTGGGGCTGTACTGTGTCAGGGGGACACGAAGCACCATGGTGTTGCTGCTGTAACTGCCCATGTGTCTGTAATGCTGACAGAAGGTGACCCCTGGAAGCCACACTGGGCAGAGGGGTGGCCCAGCTAGGTTGGTATCAGTATTCATGGGTGATTCCCAAAGCAGCCCTCGCTCCCCCAGCAGCATAGAGGCGAAGGGGCACAGCACAAGCTGCCTTTGCTGTGCTGAAACACACCAGGAGTGTGCAACGCCCCAGGCAGCGAAGATGGGCTGGGTGGGCCCCCATCAGCTCTCCACCCTGCTCTGCATAGTGACGCCTCCCTTCCCCACATACCCTAAGGCAGCTGCACCTCCGGAGGGCAGCCCCTCAGTCTCTGAGGATGCTTTTCCCTAAAACCCCACATCCATCCAGAGTTTCTAATCCAAAAGCATCGCCACAGCAGCTCATCCAGGCAAGCGCTTAACCTCAGCTCTGAGATGCAGAGGAATCCTCGTTGGGTTCCTCTGTACCACCCATCAGTGCTCGATCGCTCTTCCCATGGCAGAGAAGCCTGCAGGAGATGCTGACCTGGCACTCACAGCACAGAACAGGCAAGGAAACACAACACAAGGGATTTTCTTGCCTTTTCCATTGTGTTTTATTGAAAACATCCATTACAAAAATCATTCCATGCCACTTAAGTGACAGACTTTGATCCCATCAGTTGGTTTTCCAGGCAGAGAAGGCCACAAGTGTGGCAGTCACCAAACAGAATACCCTGAGGCTGAGCATGAGTGCACTGCAGCGAGCTGGAGCTGCTCTCCTCTCGAGCACGGAGGCGCTGGGCCAGCACGTGCCCCAGCAAAGAGGCTTCCTGCTCCATCCCTACCATTTCCCACTGGCACGGTGCCAGTCTCCATCTCATCCCTATTTCACAGGATTCGCAGGTGGCATTTCTCAAGATGAACATCTCGATAGACAGAGAAAAGGCACCATGAGCATGGATGCAGAGTCCTGGTGGGAGCAGGTTTCCTCTGGCTGCGGGGGAAGTAGCTCTGGAGCTTGGCAGGATCCTTGGAGTGTCATTTGCACTTGAAGAAGAATTTCTTTCGGAGGAAGTTGAAACAGCCTGGGATCTGCTTGTACTTCCCCTTAGCAGAGACAGCGTTGGCCACCTGAGAACAGGAGAGTGGATGAGGAGCAAGAAGAATGGGGACAGGAAACAGGACTGTGGGATGCATGGAGACCTCAGAGCAGGATCTGAAGGGAGCCTACAAGGATGCTGGAAAGGGACCTTTCATCAGGGACTGTAGCGACAGGACAAGAGGTGACAGGTACACATGTACCAGGATGCTCAGGAGTACCACAGAGTGCAAGCAAGCACCACGGACATCTCCAGGCACAAGAGAACCAGCAGGAGTTCCTCAAGGGCATGATCTGCCTGGACACATGGCAGCAAGCTCATGAGGATGACCCAAGTCCCATGAGCTTGGACTTTGACACTTACCCGCAGT